AACAGTTACGACTCGGAAGCTGTTCCTGGCAAACGCAGCTACCGGAGCAGCTGCCTTGGGTCAGAGCACCGGGGCCCAGGACTCAAGCTGCCAGAGCGCCCCAGGGCAGCTGGGAACCCAGTGAGAACCCAGGGAAAGGACACCTCGGATACGGAGACCTCCAAGGACCAAAAACGCAGGACAAAGAAGCCAGTGAGGGTTCACGCGCCCCACGGTAAAGCATGCGCTCCTGAGCCACGGGCTTCGGCCACGATTGCACCTGCAGCTCCGATGGCCCAACTCCTGCCGGGCTCTGCCTTCCACAGGAGCCCCAGGACTCCAGAGGCTCGCTTTTTCCTGCAGCCTGAGGAATCCAACTGCACGGCCAACGCTGTGGCCCGCCTCCCCCAAGCAAGCTCGTCTGTCTGATTTTCCCTGGGAGGGGGCAGGGAGGCCAGCGTCCCCTTGGTGTCTCCACAGGCCAGCGGGAAGGATCTGCTCAGGGGTCGAGGGCCGGACAGACACCTCCACTGGCCCCGGGGCCTGTCAGCTTGACCCCGCGTGCCGGGTGTAACTGGTCCTGCTCGGATTCCACAGGTCTTGAGTTCGGAGCCGACCGGGTTGGCCAGGAGAGGCCAAGGGTGATAGCTGGTCTGTGTCGGTGCCAGATCACACTCAGGCGCTCAGGGTCTCACCGCGTGGTCTCCGGAGACTGGCGAGGGGTGTCCCCAAACGTCTCTCGAGCTTCCACACAGCGCTCCAGCCCTGACCCTCACCCATCGGCCGTCTGCATTCACAACCGTTCAGCTCCGCGTTCCTGGTATTTGAGCGTCACCTCCATGTGTATGTGGGAGGTCACTGCTCATCTCTCTGTTGTGCATCCTCACCCTACAGACAAGCGACCTCCATTTTACATAGGTGGTGCCCACGCGGGGCACCCCGTTCACCTGTGCTCACCAGAGACATTTATCGATACAGCGACCATGCGCCCAGCCCTACAAAGTATCACTTCCTTAGTTTGCAGCAGGTTGGGAGCAGGATGGGAGGGGCTGCTGAGCCACCACGGCCAAGCTGAAGATCCACTCACAGGGACCCACGGGCAGAGAGAGGGGCGCCCCAGCGCCAGCTCATCTGAGGAGCGTAGCTAGTGACGAGGGCATGGCCAGGGGCACAGTGGCCGGACGGCAGACCCTTTCTCCTTCACGTGAATCCATTGACGCAGGCCCCCTGCCTCGGAAAGGGTGCGTGGCAGGGTGGGGACAGTGGCCACAGTTGTCCACACCGGAGAAACTACTACAACCTGTGCAGCTCTGATGAGGGTCCTTTCTGCAGCATAAATCCACACGTCCGTTCACAGACACGCAAGTCTGATCATTTAAGCTACTTGAAATTGGTATTCATAAATCCAGGTCTACGAAACACTGTATTTCCATAAAATACAGTGGATAAAAGACCAGCAAAGAAGGCACCTGGGTTCCAGCTGCTTCCCCCTTCCCTCTACGCCCCTGGCCGCTCCCATCCTGCCTGTTCGTCCCTGACCCGGAACGACAGTCACCTGTGCCCCCTCTGCGGGCCCCGCAACTTTGTCCCCCCTGACTACCCAAGCTGCTGAGCGGGACTCCTGCTGTTGGGAGGACACAGAAGTGTCTCTAGGGCCACCGATGTGCAGGCCACCCGGGACCCTCTGGTTGGCAAAGTTTTCTCGTCCAAGGTCAGTAGTTCTGACACGTGCCGTTCCCCAGGCCTTCCCCACCACGGGAGTCTGTCTGCCTGGTTTGAGGGCAGTTTATCAACAGTAAGTGCTCGGGGCTGCTCTCACTCCATCTCCCAGGACATCTAGAAACCCATATTCCAGATGGAGAGGTGAGCGTATAAATTTCCAGGGACAGTCTGGAAGCTTCAAGAAAATGCCCTTGCCGGTCGCTGAAAGCACGGCCCGGCCCGAATCCATTCTGATGACTGCTGCCTCCTCACGGCCACGTCCACACCCTGCAGGCCATCTGCTGTCCGTCCCTCTGCGATGGGGTGATCCCAGAGAGCAACTCTGAGGGTGGGCTAGGGCACTGGCAGGCCTCCAGGAGAGGGGGAGAGGGGACAGGAGTAGGAGGCCACCGCGCTGGTGGGTGGCTCAGACCTCTCCTCTGAGCAGGGGAAGGAGCTACACGCCCCTTCACCTGGGAGGGTGCTTGCTCCTGGTCCCAGGGCCATCACCCCCAGACCCATTCTGCTGCTTGGGTGAGCTCACTGCAGCCAGTCAGGCTGAAGCAAGCCCCTGGCAGCACTCAGCCAGAGAAACCCTGCCCTTCCTACCAGGCATGGCAGACAGGAATCTTTCCGGAAGCTGCTCTGGAGGGCAGGCGAGCCGCGTGCCAGTAACGGCGGGGAACCGGGTGCTCCCCTCCGCCCCTTGCCCGCCCTGGGGGACCTAGGTGGAGGGCGACTGCCAATCTCCCCGCCCGCTCCCAGGAATGAGACACAGTCCACCGGTCAACACCCAGCTGTTGTAGTGTAGCTCGGTTTTATTTATGTCCACAAATATTTCAAAAAAATTACAAAAGACTCAAAATGGAGAGAACACAGAAGTCACGATTTCTGGGTGTCTACTCTGTTTACACTGTGTTATCTCATGGCAAACTACTCATATATACATTTAGCTTCAAGATATATATAAACGTAGCAAATCAGAATGTACACTCTGCTCCTGCAGTGAAACAAAGCTCAATCTTGACAACATTCAACAAGATACGTACAAAACACAGAAAAGCAAAACCAAACTTCAAACAAAAGGAAGGAAAATCCAAAAGGAAACCAAGGGGTCGGGCTTCAAAGACACTGTGAAGGTCTGGGGCCTCCTAAACCAAGTGCAGCTGACCAGGTGAGGGTTTCGGGTTGCAGGTTTTTAAGTGGAAGAATCTCAGTGCTTCACCCTGGGATATGGGGAAAGAACCAAAACCGAACAAGAAAACGCCTGCAGACAGTTTTCAAGTAGAGACTTCCGAGTACTTCACTCCGTCTCTTCTTTGGAAAAACGGAGGACACAGAGAGGCGGCAAAGGTTTAACTGAATGGCAGGCACTGTGTGCCACCAAGAGGAAACCAAAGATGGCAGAGAAGGTGGAGGCAGCGGGGCAGGGGCTGCAGGAGAGCCGGCCCGCCCCCCAGAGGAAACAAGTGCCTCGTGCCCGTGCGGCCCCAAGTCTGATGACACAGGGTTCATCTGAGCTCGCCTCCCCTCTAAGGAGCTAAAGTTAAGGCAGAAATGGAATGAGAGAAAAATCAAAGGAGAGAACCACGAACATTCCCAACAGACAAAACAATCCTCTATCTGTCCCGACCGAAACCAGACGTAGTTTTAACAGAAACTGGAAATGGCCCTGATGCAGGCTTGAATCCGGAACCTGGATCTGAGCTCACACCTGCTGGCTTCTGGGTCAAAGCGCCAGCCTCTCTTCCTACCCTCGACTCGGCTCCAGCCCTAGACACGCCCCACATCCACCGACCCACACGTGCTCTTGTCATCCCACAGCTCTTGGATGTGACTCCCCAGCCTGAGGGGAGAGGAACGGGGAAAGGTCACATCCTGACAGAACACTTCATCAACAGGCGCAGACACCCCCCACGCCCGGCCCCGCTCTGGAGAAAGTGCATCACGTCCACAACTAGGAAGGAGAGGCGGGCCCCCTGCAGAGCAGCCCGAGCCCTCAGAGGGGCAGCTCCCAGGCAGAAGGAAGCCATTCTGACCAGGAACGAGAGCAAGAGTGGGACTCAAACGGCGTCCCCACCCATAACCGTGCCAACTCCGGGCCTCCCTCAAGCAAAAGCGGCCTCAAGCCGTGCGGCAGGGGTGGCCTGGCCTCAGTGCAGGAAGATCCTAGTGATGACACACAACAGGGGAAGTTTCTAACAGATTCCTTTGGCAAGCGTGTGCTATTTGTAGGGAATCGTTTTCTTGTTGAATTTTCCAGAATGTTAATGAAATTGTCAGAGTATTTAAGAAGGCAGTTCATCCAGAACAGCCAAATGTGTGTGCATAGAAATGTATAAGGAAATCTACAGTCAGACACACAGAAACATGTGCTTTCTATCCCATGGAGACAGAACAAGGTGGACACTTAACTCCGGCGCTCCTGGTACAAAATAAAAAAGGTTCGATCTAACAAATATCCGCACCTCTGGCGAAGCACAAGCTAGGAACAGACAGAAGTGAAAATCAAGGCAGCAAAACAAAGAAACGGTTTGTAACATCGTCCCTGCAAACCCCTGGATGCCCACTGCTGCGACCAAACCTCATCCCAAGCTCCTGCCCGTTTGTAATTAGTAACGCCCATCTGTTCCCTTTAATTAAAGGGATAATTATATATAACTTTTTATTAAAAAATCAACTCTGTATTCTGTCAACAGCTGGTAGGAATTCACAATTAGTGACATGGCTGGAAAAAATAGATCAGAATAGTTTGTGGAAGAAAAAAAATGCCGTTCTAAAATTATTTATTTACAGACGTAAAAAGCCATGCTGCAGAACTTTCTCAAATTATGAAGATTTCCTACAATGTATTAAAATAAAAGTTTTTTTAAAAATTATAGCTCTTGGATTCCAAACTCCTATGCCACCTATCTGCAGACCTCGTGGGCTCTGGGACACACGTGGCTGAGTGTGTCTGCACACACAGTGAAGGGTGTGAACTGGATTCTAGCACCTACCAAGAAATCAAGGAAGGAAAAGAAAACTAAAGCCAAACCCCAAGATTGCAGGGAAAGTTTTCTGAATGTTCAGTCCAGTCCAGGACTCACTAAGTTTCTGGGGGACTGTCATGCAGGGAGACCCAAACCAGTCTCAAGGTATTCTCTCTACAAACAAACACTATTATGCTGATAACATTTTTAGTTGTGGGGTTTTTAAATATATAAAGAAATCTTTAGAAGATATTCTTTTTGCTTCTGTAGCTCGTATTGTATGTAAAAAGTCCTGTTTCTCCCCCCAAGAATTGGGGTTTCCACAGCCAGCGTTAACAAATAAATAACTTATAACTGCTTGTCACCTTCTTTCTTCAGTCGACTAGAAAGGGAAAAAAGGGAGAAAGTATTCAGCACCAGGCCTGGGCAGGTGCGACCAGGCATGCAGCTCGAGGGTCCAGGTGACCAGAGTGGCCTCTCGTGCAGCCGACCTTCCCCTCGTCTCCCTCCCGTCAAGATGGCTCCTTGGGAGTCCCCTCCAGGGCCAAGAGGCCGGGGCCCGCAGAGCCATGGGGGGCGGGGGAGCGTGGCCTTTGTGGAAACGGGCGAAGCACACGGTGGGCACGGCCAGGAGGGGTGACCGTCAGGCTGGGTCAGTGGCCACAGGTGGGACAGGTGGGAGCCTGGGCTCAGACAGTGAGGCCCTCCCTCCCTCCCGGCCCCTCCCCGCCTCACCTGTAATAATCTTCCTGACTTGGTAGGTGGCCACCGTGCATGTGGGGGTGTCCGTGCAGCCACTGCTGCTCCATGGCCAGTCTCTGCAGCTCTGCTGACTGGGCATGCATGGCCTGCAGCTGGTGGGCCGCAGACATGGGGGGTGGGATGGCCCCAGGCAGGTCTCGGGGGTAGGGGGTACCTGCCAGACACACAACGGCCTTTGAGACAGAGGGGCCAAGGGAGCGGCCGGGACGCGGCTGGCGAGGAGGTCAGGTCAGGAGACGGCCTCCCGAGGCGGGGAGCAGGAGGGCTGCTTACTCCGCCGGGACCCGGGGAGCAGGTACTGCCCCTGCGATCCCCTGACCCCAGGGGTGGAGGCTGGGGGAACACGGACGGAATACACGCTCCCTCGTCCTCCGGCCTCGTGGCTCAGGCTCTTCTTCACAGAGGTCCGCTCTGACCCCTCAATGTGAATTCAG